ACACACACACACACACACACACACACACACACACACACACACACACAAACAAACACACAAAAGTCAATATAGAAAAATCACAATTTTAAATAACAACAATATTAATAATAATAAAAACAAAGACTTTGTTTGTCTAATGAATAAATGTTAATCACTACGGGAGTGACTTTGGGATCCCTAATTTGTCCAATGCAGCAAGGTCTGGACTTAAAAAGAGGACAACTGACTCCAACATATAAAAAGCTCAAACTGTGATGCTTAAATTTGTGACTCCAGGGCTGAAGAGAAGCGCCACTGTGTTGGAGAGAAAAATGGGAAAGTGTCCGATTCTGGCCGGGAGTGATCCTCTGAGTGAGTACCACTGGTGGAGGAAGACTGGCTCAGGAAGTCCCTGACATGTGGAGGTAAGGAAAGAAACAACCAGTTTTCAACCAGCAAACCTCCTCCACACAGCCCCAAGCAGCAGCCCAATTCAGCAGGCAGCTCATCCAGACTATTGCTGCGTAAATCTAATCTGCAGAGGCGACTTAGAGCTGCGATTCCACCGGGCAATGACCCAAGAGAGTTGTGAGCCACATTTAGGACCTGCAGCTCCAAACAGCTGAAGAGATCAGAGGGCAGGGTCTCTAACCTGTTCCCACTGAGGTCCAGTTCTGTCAACAACTGCAAYGCCTTTACCTCAGAGGGCAGCTCAGCAAGCAGGTTACCAGCCAGCAGGAGCCTACGGAGACGGTGAAGAGTAAAGAGTCCCGGTGGAAGATTCTTCAGCTGGTTGGTGGACAGATCCAGAACTTCCAGGCCTCGAAGGACGCCGACACTGTTTGGCAGTGTTAGAACACGGTTATAGGCGAGTTTAAGGCAAGAAAGACGTCGCAGGTGAGCCAGACCGAGCAGCTCCTCTAGGGTTCTCAAGTTGTTATGCTGCAAGTTGAGCGTCCTTAGGCTGGTCAGAGCGAGCAGGGCTGCAGGCAAACGCTCCAGCTGGCAGTCCTGCAGCTGCAGCTCTGTCAGGTTGACCATCCGCTTCAGGCCTGTCAGCACAAGCAACCTTGTGCCCTCGTTATAAATCTCTAGTCTCAACAAACTGCCCGCCACCTCCCACAGCTCCCCAGGAATCCTCTGTAACAAGCCTCGAATCACCAGAACACGGAGATTAGCCAGTCGACGGAGGCTCCCCAGGGCCCAGTTGCGACCCACGCTGCCCTCACTGCTTAAACGACCAGAAAGGTGGAGCTCACGCAAACTGACCAGGGAGTAGACCCAGTTGGGGATTTGTGACGGCTGTGCAAAGGTGAGCTGAAGGACCTCGAGACGTTCTTGCAGCACTGCAAGAGCTCTGGGATCCACAGATGGAGAGCAGTGATAGAGGTGGAGCTCCCTGCAGGTAGGCAAACACAACAAAAGTAATAAAAATATTACAACAAATACTTAGAAGGTTCATTTGTGTAACCAACTGCAACTCTGTCTTGTCCAACTCACCTGAGTGAAGTCATGTTGCGCATTTGTGCAGTGAACCTGGCCTCAGCGATGAACTCCAGCTTGAGGACCTGCAGCTGGCTGAGTGTAAAAACAGCTGGAGGGAGGCGAGGCAGGGACACCAGCTGCAGTCTTGAGCAGCCATCTGCATCCACGTTAGTCATGGCACGCAGTTTCTCCTCACCCCAGTGGCGCTCCAAGCTCTCCTCCAGCAACTTGTTTTCACTCACCGGGGACAAAAACACAGAGAGCCGCTGGGCCAGCAAAGGATCGTACTGGTCCAGCATGTGTATAAGAAAGGCCAAGTCATTCGTCAGGTCGGGAATGTCTCTTAGGGACCCCAGGTTCTTTAGAGAGTGGAAGGAATAATGTCGGAGACAGCTGCGTCAGGAAAAACAAACACACAAAAAAAGACACATAATTACAGTCAGGTCCATACATTTTGGGACATGGACACAATTCTCATCTTTTGGCTGTAAACACCATCATGGATTGAAACAAACAAGTTGTGTTTTAGTTGCAGACTTTCAGCTTTAATTTGAAGGTACTCACATCCAAATCAGGTGAACGGTGTAAAAATGGCAACTGTTTGTATTTGTGGCTCCCATTKTTCAAGGGACCAAAAGTAATGGGACAAATTAACAATCTTAAATTAAACTTTCACCTTTAAATGTTTGATTGCAAATCATTTGCAGCTGATTGCAGCCTTAAGTCTGGAACACACAGTCATCAGCAGATGCTGGGTCACATCCCTGGTGATGTCCTGATGCATCTCAGTAATCCAGGTAAAAAATCAAAAAGAAAAAAAATTGTATAGGTCTTCTGGACGGGTTCTTCTCTAATAAAACGTTTCGTCTCTCCTCCAAGAGACTTCTTCAGTCTGAGAGTTTCAGACAAAATTCAGGCTTTTAAGCCCTGCCTCCATGTGACTGATACACACATCACATGGCTATCGTTGACACCTAATTAACACCTATTGTTAACAGGAGGTGGAGTGATACTGGCAATGGCCACACTGTAGGAGGGGGACAACTGAAAACGGAGGCCTCCACCTCTGTTTAATGATGGACGGTCTTTCTTCACAAAAATGGCTTCTTTTACTCGTCTCTCAAACCAACGTTCCTCTCTATCAAGAATGAGAACATCCTCAKCTCTGAAAGAGTGACCGCTGGCCTGTAAATGAGTGAAAACTGAACACTGTTCAAAAGAATGTCCCAACACAGACAAGCTACATCTAATGGCCAGAACTCTGCAGTTTTCACTCATTTACAGGCCAGCGGTCACTCTTTCAGAGATGAGGATGTTCTCATTCTTGATAGAGAGGAACGTTGGTTTGAGAGAGGAGTAAAAGAAGCCATTTTTGTGAAGAAAGACCGTCCATCATTAAACAGAGGTGGAGGCCTCCGTTTGCAGTTGTCCCCCTACTACAGTGCAGCCATTGCCAGTATCACTCCACCCCCTGTTAACAATAGGTGTTAATTAGGTGTCAACGAAACCCATGTGAAGTGAGTATCAGTCACATGGAGGCWGGGCTTAAAAGCCTGAATTTTGCCTGAAACTCTCAGACTGAAGAAGTCTCTTGGAGGAGAGACGAAACGTTTCATTAGAGAAGAACCCGTCCAGAAGACCTRTAAAAAAWTTTTTCTTTTTGATCCCTGGTGATGCTCTGCCAGGTCTTTAATGACACTGTCTTAATTTCCTGATGATTCTTGGGACATTTTACCTTCAGATTTGTCTTCAGAAAGTGAAATGCTCGGTGAAATCAAATTCAGGTCAGGTGACTGATTGGGTCATTCCTGGTCTTTTAAAATTTTTGGGTTGCTTTGGCAGTATACTTAGGATCATTGTCCATCTGCACTGTGAAGCACGGTCCAATGAGCTCTGAAACAATAGGCTGAATGTGATAATRCTGCCTGAAACACTTCACAATTCATCCTGTTGCAAGGGATGAAACACAGTGTTGTAATTTRTACACCGTTCACCTGATTTGGATGTAAATATCTTCAAATTAAAGGCAGTATTTATGGACCTGACTGTGTAAAATAAGAAAGATTTTCTACCAAGATGAGCAAGATTATGTGTCAGCAGAATGACATCACACTCAATCAAACTGAGTACAGAGGTCCCTCAAGGATGTATGTTTGRTCCTATGCTTTTTAATCTGCTGACACATGACTGCACTGCTTAATTCAGTACCAGTCAGTTCATCAAGTTCTTTGAAGAACTTAATGAACTGTTYATCACCTCATCAACAACAATATTACACGTTACACTCTTCCACCTCTGCAGCCTCCCCATGAAGACAGTTAGCAGCGCTACATTTTTGGGAGTCTATACTAGTCTTCATACACACTCCTCTCTCTCCTGGAGCCTAAACACCATGAAATGCCATTCATGTATCAATTAATACATTTTTAAATTTTTTGATGCAGAGATGATCAACAGCGCAGCTTTGTATTTTTATCTACGTGCAATGAGTCCTGACCTGTGAAAAACCCAACTGAGGGTGTAGAAGTTAAGGATTCCATGCAGCCCCAAGAGGGTCAGGTAGGCCAGTAACAGTTTGCGCATGAGTGATGACAGTACGTGGATGCATTCAAAGGTTGCATAGCCAACTAGGGTGTGATCCTCAAGGTGACAAATGTGGTTAAATGAGAGGGAGCYGAGAAGAGGGATGGTGTATCCCAGGATCAGGGTTGCCATCAGCAGTTTGAAAATCGTCTGCGTTAGGTAGACCTGAAAAGATAAAAGTGCACTGACTGATGAGTCTAGCAATTAGATGTGAAATAAAAGAAAAAGACGTTCACTTACCTTATAAATAACAACTGAGCTTTCACAATGAGATCGGAATTTTCGAACCCTTTCAAACAGCGCTCTGGCCTGTTCCCCATCACTTTTATCTAGATTCATTATCTGCCTGGATCTGTTCACCTTCGCCGAGGCCTTGGAAGAACAAACGTTCACTTCAGAGCCAAGAGATACAGAAGTCATGGTGGAGTTACCGGAGAGAGTAGAGGGGCAAGGAGATGGAGGAGCTGCTGGTTGTTTCAGCAGTGGGCTGTCTGTGCCTGAATCTGTGTTTGAACATTGTGTACAGGTAACAAGCGGTGAGGAGGAACCTGAAGATTGGGGCAGTTGCTGGACTTTGCTCTTAAACTCTCTGAGGTTTTCCTGTCGGGCAGCATGAGACAGGGCCTGAGTTGTCCAGGGAGACTCACAGCATTTCGCCAAGATGGCTAGGAACTGCTCTATGCGGGAAGATGTGGGCGGGAAGTGGAGCCAGAAGGAGCCGCTGGCCACCAGAACCAAGGACTGCAGCAAGGCCATGTAGGGGAAGAAGCGGGAACTCAGAGGCAAAGCTTCATGGTAGCACACCTGACAGACAAGCAGACAAAAAGGATTACTGAAAATAATCAAAGGTAATTAACATTTGGAGTGGAATATTTCAGGATGATTGCCACAAATAATCAACCTCAATAAACATACAGTAACAACTGTAATTTATACAGATATTAAGTTCAMAATTTAAGAGATTGTAGTTCAAAGTTATTCCAAACACTCTGAGCATYACCAGCAGTGGTGGGCACAGTYCCCCYAAASCACTAAAGCACTAATAGGGGAACTAATTTCCTGATTAGTGCTTTAGGGKTTTTGCTAATTTCATATGTATTAGTGGATTAGAACTTRCTAAATTTATAGGCTTAGAAGCACTAACTGAGGTCTATAAATGTTATTGATCAACATTGTTAACARCTGAGAGTGAAAACTGTCACTCATGTTGTTCAAATGTGTGTCACTTATTCACCAGGTGAYAATATATGAACYCAAATACAGCTGTGGAATGTCAATGATAAGAMTTAAGAGAGCAACATGACAAWATGTGACTCATGTTGTCTGYTGAAGAATGTTCATGGGTTGACTGGGTTATTTTAGTGCTTTAGAATTAGCTTTTGCTAAAAATTTCAGTGCATTAGTGCTTTAGAATTAGGGGACCCAAATATTTGAATTAGTGCAGGGCTAGTGGAACTAATTTTTAGATTAGTGCTGCCCACCACTGATTACCAGGTTGTGTTGTCTTTGGTTTAAACTTGGGCGGTGGGCACAACCAATCGTTTAAGGAATGCTACTTTCATCAGGATCCAGCGGAGTTGTAATTTTGTTGACCTTAGTATTAAAGTTTCCACAAATCAAACTGAAATTCCAAGTGCTTTCATATATTTTTGAACAAAAAAAAGTCTTAGTTGTAGACTGTTGGCATCCACAGTAAATAGACGCTGCTTGACATTTCTTTTGGAATAAATGGTTAAAAATCAACAAGCTGGGTCCCTGTCAGCGTGGGGTGGCAAGGCAGACCCAAGTGCAGGCAGACAGGCAGGCAAGACTCAAAGTAATAATAAACTTTATTAAAACAAAAGACCGACGTGGCGGCAAAACACAAAGAAAGAGACCTGGAACATGGGAGGGAACACAGGCATGGCCAAACAACGGATTGATGCTGAAGTAGTGGAGAAGGGCTGGTTAAATAGTGACAGGGCTGAGTGAAAAATGGAAACAGCTGAGAGATCACAAAGTAGAGACAGGCTGAGAAGAATGACCTAGAAAAAAATAGAAAGACTGAGGAGAGTAATGGGCATGAGACACACAAGACAGACACCAGAGGGAGACAAGCGCAAGATAACAGAAAGCACACAAGACACTTACTGCCTCCCTTAACGCAATGTTGTGATGATTATGTCTCAACTTGACGACATTTTACTCCTATATGTCTCCAATCAATCGTGATTTGGTCATGAAACCCTCTCAAACTTGTCTCGCATTCTTTCTTTTTTTTTTGACTCATGGAAACTAAACTGAGACGATTTGAGATGGGTTTCAGAGGCTCACGATGACTATTTGTTTAAAAAATTTCAAGACATATTTTGTTTCCACGTTGTGACACAAGAGCAAATCCCTGCAGCTCACGCAAGGAAAGAACCCTTTTGACCAAAAGACATTTTGGAAACTCTTAACTGTTTGCAAATTAAACCACTGAGTCATGTCAGCATGTGCCTTTTCAGAAACACCTTCCTTGCTGTACTTTGAATGAAAGCAATCCAAAGAGTGTCACCTGGCTAACATAAATGTACTGCTGGTACACCAGATGTGTGCGGCGTCCCCGAGCTGCAGAGTGAAGGTTTGGTTCCATGTTGGGCAGATTGTGCAGGGGGGTTTCTGAAGACGGGGTCAGCGCCGCATCTCTGCTGGTCGGGGGAGCATGGTCACTGCTGTTTGCTCTGACGGTTGGGTCTGAAGGAATGCACACGACCCTGTCCCTGGACAGCTGCTCGGTACAGGCCAGCACTGAAGTCACGAGCATTAGGACCCCCAGGTAGTCCATGAAGACCTCCCACCAGGGCTTCAGAAGTTTGCACGTGTTCTGGTGTTGATTCAGAGGAGCCAGCTCTGACAGGGAAAACATGTCTGAGGCTACCTGCCAAATTACAAGAGGGAAACATTTTTTAGTTGAAACGCTTCGCTTCGAGACAAACAGTGGCAGTTTAAAAGTTCAAAAACTTGTTTGCATGGTGGACCTTTTTGGAAAGTCCCAATTTTACAAATTATCAAAATTTTTGAACAGTAATTCAGGAGGTCTAAACTGTACCAGAGGTACATAATATGTTTTATGAAATGGGGTACCAAATTTTAGAGTGATATCTGTAAAATAGCATAAACTGTAGCCATTTTTGTGTTTTCTAAAATCATCTGGCTTGAATCAGATTGTCTCCAAAAGTTAATCAGTTGTAGATGTACATCCACCAAATACTTTGTAAGAATTTTATTAACATCTGCTTGTTGGTTCATGAGATATTATGATAACAGACATACATTCAAACCCACATGCAAAGCACACACCCACTCAAAAGTTGCATTTTAGAGCAGACTATTTAAAAATATTTTTTTAATATTTATAATATTTTTATAAACCTCRGCCAGCCTACCTGTTTAAAATGTGTCCCCGAACCTTCAGCCTGGTGCCGTCTGGTTCTGTGGAGAACAAATCCTGAAACAACAAACTCCTCCTGAGTTGGACAAACACGCAGCTTTTGAAGCGTTTCCATGGCAGCCGTGGAAAAGCGGCTGAAAACCTAATTCGGAACCAGAAGCCCGATCGAGGCCCGCCGAGGGTTTGTCTGAACCTTTTAACTCCTTCAGAACTTCACCACAACACAAAACAACAAGGAGGATTACAAAACCAATCCTCTGAGATGTATCAAAACTCATTTTTTATTTTGGAAAATGACACAAGGTTTTAGTTTTATTACACGCTCTTAGTTTAATGACATTTTCTATGTGTTTAGAAGCTCAGGGTGTTATTTGTTGGTCAGTCTGCTCCTGGCATGAAGCCAAGTAAGTTCAAGTTGTGCATTTCTCTGGTTAGAATGACCCAGAATAATCAAACTGTGCTGCTGGAAGATGGGATAAAAAATGGCTAACAGGCTAACAATCTGCCAGCATTTTTCTACTTGTATAATCATGTCATTTAGTTACAGATGTATAGAGAAAAACAAGTTTCACATTGCACACGCACATCAAGATTTGCGTGAGAAACATTTGCACATGCACAAGTGCACGGATCCTCACTTGTGAATCTGACTTTTGAGACTTTCATGTCTGTGATGCTGCATTCAAGGCTAGTAAAAAGCTGGGAAATCTGAGCTTTACCACATTTACTTGGTTATTGGAACAATATATTTCTAACTTATACTGTATCTCCTAAATCCTACAGTGTATTAAAACGCATACACTTACACTGACATTACTGGGTCCCAGAAATGTTGCACTTTGTTTATTTCAGCTGTAAAGTCCACAATCTAAGATATATGTTGATAATTTATTAGAACAAAGAAATATATATTCCATAAAAATACATTTTCCTGCTAGTTTTTCCTCAAATCAAGTCTATTTGTGTATGTTCCCATTGTGAGACTTTTTTCTCTCCACACAGACGTTTTATTTACAAATTTGCAACAATTGGACAGAATGAGTTAAGAAAAGTTAACATATAAACATTTACCGTTGCCCTAATCAGAAATATCTATTAAATTTGAAAAGCCTCTTTTTATGTGCAAGTACTCCCATATTTATCATGTCAGTTATCAGGCTTCAGGCCTAAATAAATGACCACCATCAACCAGCAGAGGGCGCTGTGTTGACAATTTCAACCCTTCATGTGACTCCACAGGAAACCCTGCAAGTGTTGCAGCTCTGCCACACRGGCATTAAGCCAATAATAATTAAAGCTATTCAATAATTATATTTCATATTTTATAAGCATTATTGTGTGTACACAGAAGCAAATGATGTATGTTTCTTTAAGTGTTATTTCCTTTTTATTTGGGCCACTAACAATCAGAAGCAGAGATGCAAACTGACAACGAACCACAATGAGATCTGCTTGACACAGCTGGTGTGTGTGTGTGTGTGTGTGTGTGTGTGTGTGTGTGTGTGTGTGTGTGTGTGT